GGAGGGAAAATACTTCTTCCATGAAAAAACACTCGCATATAAATGATTTTCTGGAGTGTAATGGTAGGAACGTGGGTTGGCACAAACTAGTCCCGATTTGGATGCCAACTTCGGCCAATATGGATGCAGTTTCTGAAAAAAACTTCGAAAAATCGGAGCAGAAGGAGGAAAAATAATTCTTTCATGAAAAAACGTTAGATATGAATCTGTAGTGTAATTTCAAGAACGTGGGTTGGCACAAACCAGTTCCGAATTGGATGCAAATTGGATCAGCATGATATCAAACTTCCATTTTAAGTTTTAGATCTTAAATATGATCGCAAGTAAAAATGAACTTTCGTGAACATTGCTGTAACACATAGATGCTAACAATAGTAGATATACATATCCAATATATATATATAGTCTACACATAAAAAAATGAGTGGTTGACCCCTGAGTTGCTCTCTCGAGGAAAGTACTAAGTCAGAATGTACCATAGCAAAACACAGCTCATAGAACACTTTGTTCTGATCGCTGTATTGTATAGAGTTTTTTAATGAACATCTCATAAATTATTGAAAAAGGCTGGTTTTTACATATAGAATATTTTCTCAAAAGTCCTTTCCTATTTTTCCTACCAGCTGCCAGATTTCCTATCCTCCCCGGTTGTTTCAATATTCGGCCGTGGTGTCTTTGTGTCTCGTATTCGGGACATTTGAAAAAATGTGTGTGGTCATACAAGTAATATACAACCCGTGGACGCCACACGATTCATAATTCTTAAAATCCGCCGCGGAATATTTTCTGTATATGCAAATGTTCCGTGGGGGCGATAAAATACACAGATACGCATGTAGACATATAAAAGTAAAAATATCAATATCAATAGTGTGAAATTTTGGATCAAAAATATATTTAGAAGTCGATTTAATCCTGTACTAGGCACTTCGATGTGGTACAGCAATGGAATATTTATAAAAAAAATCTGAATCGACTGTCCCAAATCTTTTTCTGCAACTGAAATTGTTAGAGGGAGCATCTCAACCCGTAATTTAGTTTTTGAAAATTTTGTTTTGTAAAAATTACAATTGTTAAGAACAAATGGACTTAAAAGTCGATGATATTTAAGGACTTTCTTTTGACTACAGACTGTATCAATATGCAAAGTTTCATCAAAATAGCATAAGAGTAAACCTGAGGTTTCCATTGTTAGTCTCGTTCATTAGCAAATCTTGTTTGAATCTAATTGGTCAAAAAATCCCTTCATTTAATTTTTTTATGTGACACTTCTACACATGAACAAGATTTATACTATATTTTAGCACCATGCTCCAAGCCTTGTTTTCATGTAGATGTTTTAAGAGCCTTGCTTCCACAAGAAGAAGAAGCTTTTTTATAATAAAATCTGTAGATTTAGTTTAACGCAATAAAATCCAATGTCTCACTTTGCAGTGACAAAATAAAGAAATGATTCAAGTCTTTACGATCTATTTGTCCAAATTGAAAAACTTTCCTACCATCTGTCCTCTTCCACTCCAACTTTTCCCTTACCCTTTCCCCTTTCGACGTCTAATTTTCGATTATTGCCAATCGCGCAAAGAACTATTATTATTTAAAGTTTAAAGTTTAGTTGCCTGCCATTGTTTTCTGTTGCCAAAGTTAGCCTTCCATATCGTTCCGTAGTGTTCTATCGTGTTTGCTATCATCGCATTCAGATCTGAATCGAAATTTATGCCCTCCCGCGCGCGGCAATTAATGAACTGGAGAATGCGCGCGTCGCAAAAGTGAAACAAAAGAATTACTAAACAGAAACAGTTAATCACTGATTTCTAAAGAAATCACAAATAATAGCTAAAACCCGCCGTCGCGGTTGTATAACCCCGATACACCCTACACGAGGCTGCTGCTTTTGCCCACCCTTGAGAAAATCAGAGAGCCGGGGGATAATGGATCGGTAATTGACAATTGGGATTTATCTGATGGATAAACAATTTTTTATCTGATTTGTTTGAAGCATATTGACCAACACAAGGAAATCAACATTATAAACAATTTTGTCTAAACTATTAATTTTCGATTTTCTCTTTCATAGGTTAACATCAACCAAGTGATGATATGTTTAAATTTTTCACAACTACACTTATTTTGAATTGTAATTCTAGTTCTTCTTCTTACATATACTTTTGTAAATACATTTTAGTTTTTTTGACTGATTGAAATCACCATAGATTTTATCATATCTGAAGAATATTTCCTAGTACCTAAAACACTTATTTTCCACCTAAAATAGTTCAATTCCCCATGAATCCATTACGGAGTAATGGGGCATTAGACGGGGCAAAATAAAATTCTCAGTCTATTACTACCAGCTACCCGTTTAGGAAGTTCCTTCTGAATAAAAAGGGTTAAAACTTTCATGAGATAAAGGATGCTTTAATAGAACAGCAAATAGAATAGAGAAAATAGATTCAAAATTAATGGTTTTAATTTTCAAGCGAGGGGATTTGCATAAGCGTAACGCAAACACCAAGCCATCGTGCTTTTATTATAGCCAGAAATATTGAAAGATATTATTACAATGATTTGCATTTATGTCCAGAATGATTCCGTCTAAAAGCATTATTATTGACTGATGCAGGCGGTCTATGTTCTGAATTTAGAGGATGAGGAACCCTAGATATGACTTTGACTTTTTTTTTAAATTTTCAACATAAAAAGTATTATTTTTGTGTGATAATTTATAAATTGTGCAAAACATTTAATACCTAAATAAACAGTAAGAACAATTTGAAGCGTTAAGTAGTCCGAAATTTTCAAAATTGTTAAGATATTAAAAATTTATACATATGTTATTAGCAAAACGTTTGTGTTTTTAAACAATTTTAGTTGAATTACTTTCGTATTGTTCTAGTGATTCTACCCTATGGTGCCCTGTCTGATTAGCTTCAACATCTATAATGAAATTGGCTCCTTTCTTAATCTAGCTTATTTTAAATTTTTCTGTTTGCAATAACGTTACCCATCGAACGCGACAGGGATCAAATTCCGCGACGAATTTTTACATTTCGCGGATTTCTTATTTCTTGGGTGGGCTAAGCAGTATGGGGGCACGCTTAAATATAACTAGGGAGTAACCTAGGCACTTACCTTTTTTCGGAATTAGGCTTTTCAGCAACAGCACAGCATTATCATCGCAAGCCCATGCATGCATCTTCCTGTAAGAATCTCTGCCTTTCTCAGTCAACTTGTCCCAAGGTTTCGGTTTGGATAGAAGTTCGGACACAGTGCCTTGGGATAACCCAAGTACGTATTTGGCGAATAAACGTTGACCAATGTTGTGCACTGATAGAAGCTCTCGTACTCTTCGCGATATGTGTAAGGTATCCAAATTTTGGTTTGCGTATTTATCCATGTTGTACCTCAACATCTCTTGCAATCGCGCTTCCATAGGATCACCTTTGGGTATCAAGCTATCTCCCAAGCGACCGACCATAGCACCTGGTGGTAAATTTCCTGGATCCTCAGCAAATCGGTATGAACCGGTGAAAGGTTCCGTACGTCCGTAATATCCACCACCGATCAGGGAATTATTCATCAGTCCTACATCTCCGTCCAGGCGCAAAGAATTATTGTTGTGTTCTGGAGATTTTGTCGAACGACCATTGTGAGTAGGGGTCGTTTGTTCTGGTGGAGCAGGGGTTGAAGCAGCACTTGGAGATTTATCAGATCCACCTCGTTCACTCGGTGAGGCTAAGACACTTGCCGCCGATGAAGGTGCATGTTGACGTCTCCAACTACTAACGATTTCTTCTCCTAAAATTGGCCCGAATTGTTCAACATTTTGTAGTCCTGGAAATTGTGAATTGCCCTTTTCTTCTTCGGTAACGGTCTGTGGTGATCTTGAAGATTCTCGAACGGCGGCGATAGCAGTGCTGGCATCTAGATTTGAACCTGCGAACATAGAACAGGGGCCACATCTTATCTGAGACTAACTCCCTAGAGACGATATTAAGCGCGCCCCAGAAAATCCCAACACAAAACACAAACAAAGAATATATAACTACACTAAAATATCTGATATCGGAAAAAGCGATAGTTTATTCATAGTTTACGCGCGAAAATTAAAAACACAAAACCATATATATAGATACATGTGTAAAACACTCGTGGGTAACGATTATTGCAAAACATTTTTGTATAATATAATAAATAACACATACATTGCATATTTATAGTACATAAAGAAATTATAACCAAAACAATAACATAATAAAACAATAATGAATGCTATTAAAATTAATTATAATGGCGATCTTTTTGCTCTGCTTTTTTGTTGCAATGTTACAACCAGATCAGAAAGGAGAAGCATAACATGCACTTTATGAGTTAAGACAAGAAGATAACATTATGTGATGAGAGTTAAGAATCGCGCAACTATATGGGATCTATGGCAAAATCATAAAGTCAAAGTTAACAAAAGGAAAATATAAATAATTCCCATGGTTTATTATCTGCTCTCGATGTACTCACCTCCAGATGTCACAACCATTTTTATGCACAAATGGATGACTCAATAATGTAAAACATCTTGAGGTGTCGAGATTTTTATTAGAGATTTAGAAACAGAAAAAAATATAGATACTCAAAACAAAACTATTATTTTTGAAATCGTTGATGAAGAAACAAATCACCAATTCGTAACCTTTTACGATACTCGTGCAATTTACACCAATTATTTTTAATTTATGGTTGAAAATATGATTTACAACAAATACTCTACCATGCACATATAGAGGGATTCTGGCACTTCGCTTTTTATCATTTATTTTCTTAAAATTAATAATTTACAAACTAATATTCACCTTCGATTGCTGTGGCTTTAATAGATTCGGATTGGGCAAGAGCTTTAGTTCTTTCAAGAACGAGTTGGTCGAATGGTTTAATTTCTTCTCCTGAGCCAGGTTCTACGGACGGTGATCTCAAAACACTGAAAGATAAAGATAATAATTGTAAATAAATTATTTCTTGAAATTTCTTAAATGTTTGCATACATCGTTATTACTTTTAGCACATCTTGTTGTCAGTAGTTCACATATTATCGATAAACTTTTAGCACATAGTAAAATCCCCCGTACTGTAAAATGTTATGAATGAATTTTGTAAGTCCAAATATATTCTCATTTTTTTCCTCGAACAGGATACACCATATCGTAAAGAAATAAACAAAACTAAAAATTATTTCCAAAACCTAAACATCCTTTGTACTTCCAGGCCCAAATACAATAATTATTTGATGACTCCGTTTTATCAAGTTCTAATTTTTCACAAAAGTCGCGCCGCCTCTTTTGGTACAGAGACCCCTAAGATATAAAAATCTCGTAAACACATTCAAAAAAAAGAATTTCAGATAAAAAAAACTCCACAGTTTTATGACTGTTGATTTTTAACACCCTGTAGACAAATTTTATAACCAAATATCATTTTGTCGGGCTGCAAAGGGCGCCGACATATTTAGGGATTTTTTCGGCTCAACCTGCAATAAAATTTTCGGAACAAAATCAAAAAAAGCTCGCGGGCTGCTGCCGTAGGTTAAGATCATCGTGTATTGTTTATTTATATGTATTTTTTTGTTCTAAATAGAGACGTTTTAAGACACAGATATTCTTCTTGGCACATGTAAATATTAGAGCATTGTTTACGAAGGATTTTTAGTCGGCCGTTCTGTTTGCAGAGAAATTAAAAATATGTTAACGACGGTATTAGTAAAGGATACGGGACTCATAATTTATTTATTATATACTATTTGGGAGATAAATGAAAGGTAAACATTTTAGCATCTAATCTTTAAAATGACTTAATTCTTGTAAACGCTGCCGAACATGGTGGGAAAATTTCTGAACAAGATAATACTTTGTATGGAAGTTAGCAAAATTTCAATATTTGATTCATAGCATTTTTAATTAATATTTTGGGTAACTTACCTTCCGTCTCGTTTAGATTCTTCGTATTCTCTTCTCCTGTCCAATTTAGCTTCTAATCGAGCTATATGTTGCCTTTTAGCATCTAATCTTTCTTCTAATCCTCGAACTTCAGCTGAATGTGCTTCTTGCAAAGCTCCTAAGGAAGCTTGAAGACGTCTTACGTTTTCTGCCAATTGAGATATCTGAAATAAAAAATAAAAAAATGAAAATTTAATCTAAAAGATTCGTATACAATGTAAAGAATACTGAGTTAGACTATATATCTAAATAATTTGAATTTCCATTATATTTCTGAATCAAATGGCAATTGATGAAGCTTCCGTCTATAAATAAGTATGCAATTCCAGATAAGCACAAAATAAACAAAGATATTGAACAAATGTGATATCTACAATGATCTCATGAAAAGAAATAATAAATGGCGATTAAATATTTGCGCATTAATTATAACACGTATTTAAAACGTCGTTAAAACTACATTAAGAGGCAACAAAGACTGCAAGCAACTCGATGTTTCTTTGAACCTTTTTTAATATTTGTTTATAGGAAGGAAAAAATATAATTCTTATCCAACAACCGATACTAAATTTTGGTCTTGCAAATGTTTTTATATTTCCTCTTTTGATCTAAAGTAATTTATAATAAAATAATATAATATTCACCCCATTAGACCTTTCTATATGTGTGTGTTAGTACTGATTATTTTCATTTAGATTCGGGCATATAAAACATCATCCTAAAATTCTGATGTCCGGTCTTCGCATTAACGCGGTTAGGACCGGAGGGAGGACTTTTTAAGGGTTTGAGTCGATTTTGGAGAAAAATGGGCAGAGAGGGATGCTTTTAGAGCGAAGGGTAAAGGTTAAGTCACATTTGGGAAATTTTGAAATAGGAAAAATATGAGAAAGAAATATATTGATGAACAAATTGGTAAAAAAATGGACAAAATTATAAATTTGAAAAAATAAGCGATGTATTTGAAAATTGGACAAAATCCATATGTATGTTGCAATGTAATATGCACACAAGAGTTGATGTATTAGTACATTTTTAAATGTAGATTTTTTTTTTAATTTCTTGGAATTATTATACATATGAAAAATTCAGAAATACTGAATATAAGAAATACTAGAATTATATAAGTGGAAAAATATCAAAAATAGACAAATTATTAAAAAAAAATAGTATTATGAAAGCAAAATTGGATACAATTATTATGTTTGTTTCAATGTGGAATGAAAAGCATGAAAAATAATTAAGTATATTTATAAAAGTATGAATATAAAAAAACAACTTTTTTGGATGGAATAGCCTTCAATAAAGGTCTTTTTATTAAATCCTCTAAAATTTGCGATTCTTCTAAAAAGTATTATTTATACTGTATGATTAACATAATCATTCTGAAGACTTCAAGTTTATTTACAAGAAATAATATTAATGTCAGAAAACCATACGAGAATACTTTATGACAAGCCTCATAAGAAAAATTATAAATGACCATTGTTTTACGTAAAAACAATCACTTACTAATTTTATTTTTCATTTTATAATTATTTTTTCGTTATATATTACATTTATATATATTTCAATTTTAAATATTTTTGATGCAATAAAATTTTAAGTTTTTCATATACCTTATTGACATATTTTTTTACATTCCATATGTATAAGATAAAAAATTTATCTTAATTACAATTATTTTCTGTTACTAATAGTAATGAAACAAATGCTTAAATATTATGAAATAAGTTTTTTTAGGAATAGAAATATTTAATTTTTTTTAGCATTGACATATCTGATCAATATTTGTTGTAATGACTAAATAAATCTTTAAATCTTTTTCCTGAGACATTCCTTGAGTAAAAATGATTATTTTGTGGATTTTGAATTTTTAAAATGAAATAAAATTAGAGTCAGGTAACTATATAAAAAAAATGTTTATGATCATCTTTGTTGAGCAACATTTTCCAAGTGATCATTTTTTAAGTAGAAATAATAATATAAAAAATTCATTTTTTACTTCATAATTAAATCTGAAATGTAACAATAATGAAATATTCATTATTGTTACAATTTTCAATATTATTGTTAATGGACATTTCTTTTCTCTTCTTATGTATTTTAATTTCATTCATGCTCCTAATAAGTAATAAAAATGAAATATTAATTTTATATTTAGAAAAAAATATTTAAAAATGCTAGCATTAACGCTATATGATATATGTTTGTTGTAAATATTAAATAAATCCTTCTATCATTTTTTTTTTGAAGCTATCTCTTTCAATTATACGAAAATAATCATTTTGTGGACATTAATTTTGTAGGGGTGGAAATTAGTGTAATAGAAACATACAGAAATAATTATTGACCTACAAGCCTTATTGGAAAAAATCCATATGATCTACTTATTAACAATAATTAATTTATATTATTTTTAACTTTATAATTGTTTTCATTCCTATTTATTTTTTCAATATTTTGGTAGTATTTTGTTTTTAAGTTGATCATATTTCTTCTATTTTATTACTCCTGTGACGTAATGGTGATGAAACAGTTGTAATATAAATTGCAATAAAACCAAAAAAAAAAAATAGAAAAGCAGTATTTAAAAATTTGACCATTACGATCTGATCTATAATATTTGTTCTAATGATTAAACAAATCCTCGTATCTTTTCCTAAGCCATCCCTTACCCAAAGAGCGCTACATTTTCAACCCTTTCTTTCGCGTAGCGGTTTTCGCGCTCGGACTTTGAACCGGGAGGTGGCGAGAGTTTTTGAAGTTTGAGGTTTGGGGTTGCTTTATAAAAAGGGAGCTTGCTTTTGGGCAGTATCTCTTATTTGAATATTCCTCCTGAATAAATGAGGCCGGACATTCGTACCCCACAATCCCATTCGGAATATACGTAAGGGTGTTTATGCTCGCTCATGTCGTTTGTAATCTGAACTTTTACGTTGCGATCTGTATCGGCGGCAGGGTGGTATAGATTATACTTAATTGAACTTATTAAATTAATATTCGGAAGAGTAATTAAAAATAATACATTGGTAATTCTAACGTTA